ACGTAATATAAAAATTATCCATTGTATTACATTATATTTAATACTTTACTTCCTATTATTAGCTCTCTAATTGTCATTAGGATCTTGACCTCGTTCTTTGGGTAATCTAGGATCCCTTCTATTTGCCTTTCTAGAATAAACACTAGAAGGCGCTGTAGGATCTTCTGTAATTACTTGTACATTTTTATCAACTTTTCTGAAATGCAACATTATAGTAATATCACCCGAGATGAATGGAAATATTTTATAACCATCGTCATCTTTTTGTATTTTAATATTTATTTCTTCAAACGAATTGGACTTTAATGGATAATAATAAGGGTTTACAAAAATTTGATTAATATTTGCTTCGTTATTACTTGGTACATAAATTGTTCTCAATATATTTGTTTTTCTATTTGAAATTATACTGTTTTTTATTAAATCACTAGAAACTAAAAGTGAGTCTAAATAATTGAAATTATACTCATCAGGTATAGGCTTACCAAAATAATCATAAATTTCACCATTTGCTAGTAAAATATTTCTATCTTGATAGGATTTATAGCTTTGAAACCAATCAAAAGCTTCTTTATTAATTGAACATTCAGAAACTCTCATTAAATTGCATAAAAATGGTGAAAATCTCTGAAAAAACATTAATTTATCATCAATTATACCATTAGTATACCAAAAACTATTTAAATTATCTTTAATCTCGTCTATATTAAATTTAAACTTTGGCAGTTCTGTTACATTTAAATTTGTATCTACAATCTTGTTATCAATAATTAGCTTTTTCATAGCTTCTTGGATTGCCTGAGCTAACGATAAAGCTGAATAGTTTCCGGATTTAATTTCTGCTTTATTTGATACTTTACATAGCTTAGGTTCTCTAGGATCATAGTATAAAAATTCTATATATTGATCAAATGGTAGAGTAACCCAACTTCTAGGGAACGTAATTTCTGTAAGTGCTACTTCCCAATCATCTTGTAATTCATATTTTTTATAAAGCCTTGTAGTATAATTAGCTAAATCATTATCATCTTCAAATTGTTTAGAAAAAGGAAGTGTTATATAAAATGATGTATCCATTTTTATTTAAAATACTAAAATTTTTAGTCCCTATTATAGATTTTAATACAATGTTTTATTATAGTTTATGTATTTCAGACTCTTTTATCCATGAATTGTAACTTTCCGGGTAATTTAGCCATTTAATTAAACACTCTTTGACTCCATCTTTTGTTCTTCGGCGCATAATCTTTTCAATTCTATACAGATTTTCAGTAATTTTTTGAATTTCTTCAGGATAAAACCTTTGTTTCTCTAAATTATCTTCCTGATCAGCGATAATATAAACAGGTTTAACTGGTTCTTGCCTACTTTCTTTAACTGTATACAATTGATCTGTCCAATTTGGAAAATAACTCTTGTCAAAAGGCCCTTTTTCATATTTTCTACGTACTATATCATCAGGTTCTATTGTAGGTTTTCTTGTGAGTTCATATAGTTCATCCCAAGTATCAACTTTATATAAATTTTTGAACAATATTTTGCAATCAGTTGTTGTAGCCTGAACAGGTGTCATTTTAATACTTTTATGCTTTGAATTATTATAAGCTTGTAATAAATCGTCTAATATATTATACCATATTCTATTGCCTTTTGCTGTAAAATATTTAAACATTTTTCCCTTCAAAGTTCTGTTGAATCTTTCTACTATTGCACATTTAATGTCCTTATTCTTGCTAGTAAAATGATATACAGTGTATTCATTTAATAATCCTTTAAAATGCTTATTTAAAAATTCTTTTCCTTGATCTGTTCTAAGAAAAACTGGTTTCCTATTATAGGACTCTATTATATTTTTAAATGCTTTAACCATTGCCTTGCCAGTTTTATTTTTCATTGGTTCTGCCCAAGCATATTTTGACATTACGTCAATAACAGTTAGAATATAATTATAACCTTTGTTTACACTTTTATATTCTTGCATATCTACCAAGTCAGCTTCCCATTGTTGATCAATGCATTCGACTATTATTGGGTTTCTTTTAAATACACGTCTTACTGGTTTATGCAATGTATAAGTAAATTGTCTTTTTAACCATTCAGTAACTTGGGTTAATGTTAATTTGGGTAAATGTTCTTTTGCTGCAGTGTATAGCTTTTTAGCTGTTGAATAGCTGTTTGGATTTGCTTGATCGTAATAAATACCAGTCAATACATTTTCAGTCTCCATTTTAACTTATTTATTCATTTATTTAACCTCCTATTATTAATTATACACACCAGGATATACATTCACCAATAGTATAAGCAAGTTGACCACACATAATAAAAGATAAACAACAGCATTCAAGACAGTTGTCACCTGTACATTCTTCAAATTTACATTTAGGTTTACATTTTTTAATTAAAAATATTTTTTTACATGGGGTAATGCAATTAAATAACTTTTTAATCTTCATTTTACTCTAAGTTTGATTTCTCTTTATGTAACACATACTAATATAAACAATTCTAAAAATTGACCAATACAAACAATAACATGACAGCATGCTAAACAGTATAAACAATAAATTTCAACACAGGCTTCAGGTGTATCTTCTGGATCACACGCTTTAGATGTACATGTAAAACATTTTTTTACTTTATTCCATTTTTTAGATACATAATTTGATACTTTTGTAAACTTCATTTTACTGCAAGCTTAATTTTTTTCATTTATTCAATACATACTAATATAAACAATTATAAAAACTGACCTATACATCCAACAATGTTACAACATAATATACAAGATAAACAACCAAATTCAAAACATTCTGGGAGTGAACCACAATTTTCACGTGTACATTTTGGTTTACACTTTTTAATTTTAAACACTTTTTTACATGAGATAATGCAATTAATAAACTTTTTAAACTTCATTTGACTGTAATCCAGTTTAATTTTCTTTTAATAGGTGAGACTGTGGTAACTAGTTGACTATTGTCAATTTTATCTTTAATCCTAGTATTTATAATCAAATCTTTTTCAATACCAGCTGTTTTTAATAACTCAATAAATTCATCTTCCTGATCTAAAGCTTCGTTCTGATTGGTTAATACTTGTATATAATCCTTAATAGGGTAGGCTTTTTTATTTAATATAATGTCAAGTTTCTCATTATAAGCATTTATTTTAGCCAATTTTAATACTATTGATAGAATATCTGTATTTATATCTAATTTAGACCCGAAAGGTACTAGCTCAAATTTTTCAAAATTCATTATTTATTTAATAGTGACGTAATAATAGAAGCAATGGTAGGAATTAATATAGGTAAAAAGCCACCAGCTTGTTTGATTAATCGTTTTCTGAGCTTCCTATTATTGGTATTAATAGATAGGCGTTTTAATAGTTTATTGTACTTTTTAAGTTGAGATTTTTGTTTATCATTTAATTGTATATTGCCATTTTTATAATTTATTGCAATTTCATTTAAAGCTTTATATAAATTATCGTTTGCAAATAATGCCAATAGCTTTGACCGCTTTATTGGATTTTTTATTGATGCTATAAATTTTAATTTTTTCATATATTTGTTAATTTTAGACATTTTTAAACGTTTTTATTTTTTGTAGTCTCTAATATAGGCAAATACACTATAGGGGAAAACATTCCTTCATTTTCCTCTGGAGTTAATCTTGATAAAATTCTATATTCCTCAGGGGTATCAGGGGTTAGGTCTACTCTAATATAACCATATGCTTTTTGTGTGGCATCATTAAAAGATTCGATTAAAAATTTGGTATTTGTTGGATATATCTGCCTTGCTAATACAGTAATTTGGGTCTTGTCACGTGGGTTTTTTAATAGAATTAAATAATGAGAATTTAGGCTTATTGTACGCATGCTTTTAGAGTCGTAAAATACATTTTGTACTAGAAAAAATATACTAATATTTAAATGGTGAGACTTTTTAAGAAATAGGTTTTCAAATTTGGGATCTTTATTCATTTCATTTAAAAGATCGTCTATTATAATTAAGTCTGGCTTATGTTTGCTAATCTGTTCCTCTGTTGGAAGCCCTTCTATATACAATGTGTTTGTTGCGTCACTTAGTTTTACGTCTATAAGTGTGTGAAATTGGCCATATGACCAAAGTATATTAATTGTTTCTTTGTTTAAATTATGAAACAACAGATTATGATGTTTGAGTATACGTCTAATTAGCTGTGTTTTACCACTACCAGTCATACCTACTACTAATGAATTTGATGGATGTTTGAATTGAATGTGTTTAAGGTCCATTAATCAGTTTTATCTTTACACTTGCATTTTACAATTATATTGATTTTTAGATAATATTGACTCCATTTGACCTTTTAATAATATATGGTGCCTATTATAAACTTTAACAACGTTAATGTAACGTTTGTACTTAACATTAATTATTATTGACATTAGTTTAACGTCAATACTATGACGCATGTGTTGCTAAGCAACCATGTTTATGTTTTAGTATATAATAGGTAGTGAGCTTTAATAATTTAACAGTAATAATGGCAGATATAATTGAATCTGTTAGACATTTATATCCAGATTATAGTGAGTTAATTGTAAGATTAGAAACATTTAGAAACGACTGGAATCTAGTATATAATACATCATATTATGCACTTGCCGATGCTGGATTTTATTCAGTTGATTTTGAAGATTATGTTGTTTGTTTTTCATGTCGTATAGGATTATGTGACTGGAATATGTTTGACGTACCTTGGATTGAACATGCAAGATGGTCACCAACTTGTCGTTACGTACTTGAAATTAAGGGACAAGATTTCGTCACATTGGCTCAACACCCAATGGATGGACCCCAACGACCAAATGACCCACCATCACCTGTTAACAGAGAAGATGTAATACGTGAATGGATGAACAGTGACTTGGCATCACAGATTCTTAGAATGAGATTTACGTCATATGAAACCTTGGAAAGATTAATGTATTTACGTTATGAACAAAGACGTCAACCGTTTACTGACTTTGCTAGTCTATATGACACTGTTGTAAACGATAGACGGGTTGAAGACCTTAATGCTTTATCACAAAACACTTTACAAACAAGTACACCAACTATTGCTACTGAAGAGAATATTACATGCAAGATTTGTCTTGAATACCAGATTGGGATTGTTTTGATACCTTGTGGACATTTGGCCTGTAGCGACTGCGCTTTAAAGATTAACACTTGTTCAATATGTCGTAGTAATATATTAACTAGACACAAAATTTACTTTTCATAATTACTAAACATTTGTAATTAATTTATTCTATAATAAATGATGTTTAATGACGTAATGTTTATTTGTTTTATTCTAAGTATATAATAGTATGTCTAAACACTCTAAAATTATTACAATGTCTCCTTCTGCTGTTTCTGGTTATACCACATTTAATGAAAGACTTGCAACATTTAGAAAAGATTGGAATACAATATACCCTGTGTCGTGCGAATCACTTGCTGAAGCTGGTTTTTATTCATATAATTTATCTGATCGTGTTGTATCGTTTTGCTGCTATCGTGGGTTAAGTGGTTGGAGATTATGGAATAAACCCTGGGAGACTCATGCGTTATGGTCGCCCAATTGTCAATATGTTATTGACAAAAAGGGGAAAAAATTTATACAAAAAGCTATTCGAAAAAGTCCAAAACAACTTCCCAAAAACACTAGAGATTTGGTGGTAAAAGAATGGATGGGATCGGATATGGCTTATAGTATTCTGGCATTAAAAATAACAACTTTTGATATATTACGTCAGATTATGTTTTCTAGATATGATGAATGTAAAAAACCGTTTGCATATTTTGAAGAATTGCGTGAAGCTATTTATTCTAGTAATTTATATAAATTATCTAATTTTTGTATTCAACAACAAAATAATGAAAATCCAACGAAAGAAATTTTTACGTGTAAAATTTGTATGATTAATGAAATTAAAATTGTATTTGTACCTTGCGGTCACCAGGTGGCGTGTCGGGACTGTGCGTCTAAATTACAAAATTGTTGTATTTGTCGAACATGTATTAAATCTAAACTATGTACTTATTTTTCTTAATAAAATATTTAAATTAATTGGCGTTATAATTTATTTTATTCAATTAAAGGTGTCATGTGACAAGGTAGTATTATTATATTAGGTCATGGTTATAGAATGACCTTGAAAATGCATAATAGAGACTAAATTTGTATAGATTTGTATAGTAAATTATAATATAAAAGTACTATAATAGTGGGTGAGTCTGCGTGAAATAATATAACACTATGCTATTATTGTTGGTCGTCATTCGTTGGTTAGCTCTTGTACTGGATGGTTGCAAAATTAGGTATGTAATTTTATTCACATATTGTATAATTTGTATCGTTGTAGCATTTGAATTGTCTTGATATTGTTTGTTTAGAAGTATACTCTAATATAGCAATAATTAAAACTAGGATAAATAATAGTACTAGTAAATAAAACAAGAGAAATGTTTTGTCCATTGTTTTACGTTATTGTTATTAATTGTATCTTGTTTCTATTATAAAGTCTATAAGGGGTTAAGCAGTCCTATTACCTACTTGGGTTAACATGGGCTTTTATGTAATTAAAGCTTAAGTCTATGGCTATACTTTAACATGGGTAATGCTTTTTCTATTAGGGGTGGGTTGGGCTATATAGTCCTCCTATCTACTTATATTAACATGGGTTTCTATGTGATTACAGCTTAAGTCTATGGCTATACTTTAACATGGGTATTTCTATGGGGGAAGGGTTGATGGTATATAGTCCTCCTACCTACTTTACATTGGGTTTCTATGGGTGAGTGACTAATAAATTTATAATATATATATATATAATGTAATTAATATTTAGTTATGTATTTATAACGAGTGTTGACTGTATATTGCAATATATTTAATGTAATCTCAATAGTTTACTAACAATTTAAGGTATTATTAAATTAATAGATAATAACAATCGCATTATAAATGCCATAAAATTTAATATTCACTCATATATTGTTAGTTATTATAGTTATAGCAAAGAGTTTAGTATTGAAAGCCCTATAAAAATAATATAATACAGTACTATTATTATATTAAATAACGCAATAATTTATCTATTATTTGGTTTGGTATATATTTTTATCATAAGTAAATTGATTTCAACAATAGTATGGGTAGAAAATTACATGTAAATAGTTTATACCAAATAAACTAGATTAAAATGTTATATAATTTACAGTTAAATTAAATAGAGTGATCAAAATTAGCATAATTAATAGGCCATTAATAATACGTAATAATATTATAATATAAAATTAGCTTACCATGTTAGTTATATTGGTGTAAATGATTTGAAATTTAAATATTCACTAGTTAGTTAATTTAACGTATACATTATGAGCACTAATTTATAAATGAACAAAATTTATAGTAAAAGTATAATAGTATTTTAAATTATTAAGTTCATTTAACTTTTAAAACTATATAAATATAATTAATTGCCAGATGTTTTTTATTTTGTAATTTTAAAGTGAACAAACTTTATTAATTTTTAACTTGATTAATTATGTAATGTACTATTGTACAATATATTATTAATTGAGCTATGTACTTTTTAAATTATATTGACGTAAATTTTAGAGTTAATAAACTTTAAATATTATCTATAATAGTGATGGTAATAAATTTAATTATTTAGTATAATAGTCTCTAATAATATAGTATAATAGTAGCAATACTTGTATAATAGTAACTTTTATTTTAATTAATTTAAGCAATATTTAGTTAAATCTTACCAAGATATTTACAGACATGGTCAGAAGCTCCTTAACAGGGTAAGTAATTTGTTTTGGTCAAAATCTTACTTGGTCAATATTACTTGGTTTAAATGTTATCTGGTCACCCTACTGGTCAATTTGGACGCTCTGGACACTGGCCAACCTGGACAACTACCCCTATCACCTTGTTTACCCCTATGGCTACTCCGGACACTGGCTAAATGGTCATTTGTTGATTTGACCCCCTGGTAACCCCGTCGGTAAAGTGACCACTGGTCACTTCCGGCCACGCCCCTCCTTGGCCACGCCTCTTCCGTTCCCAAACAAGCGTTATTCCTACTTGCCGCAGATCACGTGTTTTGTTTAAGCTTGCTCCATTTGTTAACTTCTGCATTGTGTCATTAGGACCTATAATTGTAATGATGGGTTATATAAAAAATTGTACACTATTTGAAACTATTATTTACGGTATACCACATACTATATTCACAATAAAATTTATATACTATTCAACAACTCAAACAATATATATCATAATTTTCTTTTATATCATATGTTTATATATTAAATTTAAATTACAATCAATTAATGATAATCTGTATAAACATGTATTGAATGACAAAACACTTGATTTGGTTTACATCAGGAAAACAATGCATTCATTAAATAGTATTTACCGTGAGGTCAATGAGTATAACATTACGTATTGGTCTCAATATATCGCTATATTATGGCTATTGTTGAGCACAATTATTTGTCTTATTATATATCTATTGATATTTCAATCTATGCCATTACCAACACGGATTGTATTAATTTACGGCGGCCTTATGTTAATTTCTACCTTTATATTCACATTTTTTACGTCCGCTTCAGTCAATTACGAGGCAAACAAATCATACAAATTGTTCAACAGATATATTGCGAGAAATCGTTTGAATTATATTAAATTAGTAACAAATACAGTTAGTTGATATTGTTTCATGTTATGTTGAATCATCATGATTTAATTAAGTAATAAGTTATTACTAGTAACTTTTATATAACAATTAATATTAATTAAATGCGGTGTTATTTATTATAATCAAACAATGTCAAATAATTTATAAAAGTATATTTATTACGTGTAACATTGTCACGTGTAATGTATGTGTATAAAATAATAGACATTTATCTAAATAAAAAATATTCTACATTCTATAAATATTCTATTATTTATTACGATTAAATAATTTATTTATCTAAACCATTAGGCCCTCGAATGACCAAAAGAAAATATTTTACCAAATTTTCCATTACCTACAATAGTATACGGTAATTAATTTTAAAATAAAATTATAATCTATTTAAGTAAAATAAAATGTTTTTAATTATTATAACAAGGCAAATTAAATTACCTCTTGAAATGTCAACACCGATAGTAATTGGCCGGTAATAAGCACAAAACCATCACGATTATTTTTTAATCTCTCCATGTATGTCATACCCTAATAAATAATAAACAATTTTTAATAAATAAAAACATTATTATTAGTTAATAATTAAATAATTAATTAAATCACCTTGATTCTCAAACGTAGTGATAGGTTAACATCTCTGGCCATAGCTAATAAATTATAAGTTACGTTAGACTCACGCCAGACAATAGTAGTCGAGTAGGTAATGATACGCAATAAAGTTGAATGACCAGAGAAAATCACCCCGTACTGTAAATAGGTGTATCATGGAACAAGGGCAAATACCAAAAAATATAGTAATAAACAAATGACCATGGTGTAAAGACCAAATGTGGTTGTCAAATAGTTGCGCCAAAATCTATTACTATCCTCGATTTGTCTACATATTGCCAAATGATCGTTTAGTATTTGCCGCATTAATTTGTCCCTGGTAATAAATGGTAATATATTTTTAATTTTTATAAATTTAATAAATAATAATAATAAATGGTAATAAATAAATACAAATGTTTAATTTATTAACGTAAGTTAAATACAGTATATTGTCAATGCAAATTCAATTATGTAATAATTAGCCCAATAAAACTTATTTTAAAATTTTAAACTAATTTTGTTACAAATACTTTACCTAGTGTTTATGAATTATAATAGTTCAATAATTATAAACTTACTTTTGTTGCCATCTGTAAGTTGTATGTGTTGAAATGAGAATGGCCAATCGCTCGTTTAAAGTGACCAGGCGCAATTTAATATAATAACAAAGGACATAGAAATAGGCCGGTAGCCAATACACAACTATACATCCAATGTATGTCCATAGGGACCAGATAAGTAACCAAGGTATGCCAAATACAACCAAATCATATGTGTCATAGTTAATAACGTAAAACATGGTAAAAATGGATGTTAAACCGACTAAAATTTGCATAATATATTGATGTGCAATTGTGAATGATATAGCAGCACGGCGTCTGAGCTTGCGACATTTATTTTTGGTCAGGCCATTTTGATCTGGCGTGATTGTGTGACCAAGATCTAATTGTGAGTTAAATTTGTAAGTTTAGTTTTGATAAACTGTAAATTAAAACTTAAAAGTTTTCTAATAAAATTTAAAACTGTAAATATAAATTTAATTTAATTTAAAGTTTAATTTAAAGTTTAATAATTTAAAGTCTTGGTAATTATACTAACATTGAATAATCTTAATTATTGGCAAAATTATTAATCAATATTTTGTTACATTTTTCAAAATAAATATAATAAATTACCTTTAATATTATGCTGATTGAGATACACAAACGGAGCTAGCCATTCAAATTCTGACCTTGGTCGGCAAATTGTGAACTGAAACAGCATGGTGATGCTAAATGTCCACATTATGCCAATTAATTCTGTGTAAAGAGGTGGGCCACCCATGAATATGGAAAATGTACCTAAGTACCGGTGCCACCGGTGTGTCTGATCTACCCTGTCCAATATGTGCCAACATTTTGCAAAACGAGTTAGCAACAAAATAAACAAGTATTGATACCAACGCCAAATAGGGTGGCCAAAAGTCCGGTGCTGCTGGTCATCGTGGTTATGATGATGGAGTGTCTAGTATGTTAATAGACCGCCGCATATTTTTAATGAACCAACAGAATTTAAGTTACTACCACCATGATCATTTGTATTTGTGATGCTATTATGAGTGCTATTTGATAGTTGCCTGCGTTTACGGAATATTCTGTGCATAGTTTTAAAGCACCAAAAATACTAAAAGTTTGTTTATTTAATGTTTATTTTACAAACTATTATACTATTTAAACAATTTAATTGATGTATTATTGATGTAAATATAATCATAAATTATAAATGTCTGGCATAACTATAATAAATATACTAAAATACACTTATGTATGTTTTAAAATATAGGTAAAATCATATACTGTACATGTATGTCTTTGTGTTTTATTTGGATAAATATTTATTTATAAACTACAATGCAATTAATGATTTAATTTAATATAAACTTAATGTATGTTTAATGACATACTTAGAAATATATTAGTTATATAATAAATTTAGGTAACTATGACTAAATTTTGTACTACAATTTAGTACATGGACCAATATGACAATTAATGTTTAATTAGATAACTATTAAATAATTGAACCAAAAAATAACTATAAAATTAATAGTTTATTTTAATGCACATTAATTGTCTTTATAATTATTTGTATAAATGCAATTAAGGTAAACTTCAATGTCACATAGTCAAATATTATATAAATTTGTTATGATTTTTATACTAAAATATTTTAAGCAAAATTTTAAAAATTGTTTTTTAAATATTTTAATAAAATTTTATATTTATTAATTATTATGCTAACTATAATTTGATGGTGCGTTTTGTGTAATTAATAATTAAAATTTTCAATAATAATTTTCAACCACAATACTTATTATTGTTTACAATATAATTTAACTAATATTTATAAAATAAATGTTAATATCATTAATAAAGTTAAATAATACTTTTACTAAATTAAATAACTAAAAATGAATTAATTTTTTATCATATTTATTTATCATTGGGTATACAATATAAGGATTATTTTATTAAACAACAAAAATAGATAAATAAATTTTTAATTAAAACATAAAAATATAATGTGTATTGTAATAATGTAAAAGATAACATTTTCAATCCAACAACTTGCTAAAAGTGTATTTTTAATTTAATTTAATAATTAATAATGATAAAATAATCTATTTGTTTAATTATTATAAAATAGATCTCAAAACTAAATAACTAATAATAGCTAGTTATTCCATAAATGACTATATCATGCTCAAATAAAATTATATAATATTTAATTCAAATAGATACTTTAAAATAACATATTGGTCAACAAAACTAACACCAAGAATAAACATGATTTTGAACATCATTAACACGTGTATCCGATAGTAACACAAATAAAACATTGCATTTAAAACCCGGGCAATTAAATTCACCACCCATATAAAGGCAATATAATCATGCATATATGATTTAAATTAAATAAAATAATATCATGCTAAAATAATACTATTTTACTGTTAACCCTTAAACCTAACACTTAAAGGTCATTTTGGCGGGCAGTGTACAGCCGGAAAGCTGCACACACTGGGAGGCGCAGTATATACCGCACGCGACACAGATATCCAGATGGCGGCCATCGATATACATGGCCAGAAAGCCCCCGATGAACGCGTCGCCGGCACCCGACGTGTCTACTATTTCGTTGTCGGTAAATATGGGTACCGGGTATTCCTTCGTGTTGAACACATCTGTTTTGGCCATCAATACCGGTTTGTCCCGCTGTGTCACCACAACCACTCGCAACGCTTTATACGCGTTTGAGATGCGCGGGTTGTTGTACGAGGCTTTGGGCTCGTCGGCCATGAGCTTGGCCACTTGTTTCAAGTCACGTGTCTGTAAAAATATATAATTTTTTGTAATTTATAAATCAGCTTGGCGTATTAATTAATTTTGTTACGTGATAGCCTTTAACGGTGGCAAAGGCTAAAGCCTCGTCTGCGCTACAGAATAAAAAATCAATGTATGGAAAAATGTCCATGACCAGATTTGTGCATTTGTGTACCACGTACGACGCGCCTATATATGTGGTGATTTACGGTAAGTTATTTAATATCCAAATACACTGTTTGTTATATTACCCATGTTGAAAGCAAAATCTTTGCCCCATTCGTGCGCGTGCTGTGCCAAACACATTACGCTGTCTGGTGATACTATTTTTATCATGGTAAGTAATTAAAAATAATATTATCTAATTTATTATTATCTAGGATAATAAAAACAAAGTAGTTTAAAAATAAAATAATGTTAATTAGAAAATTTTGTTATTGCGATAATTAAGTATTTAATAATAATTAAAATGTGTCAAAATTTTTAATAAAATATGATATAGAAAATATAAATTATATTTTGCATAGATGATGATCATAACTTTATAAGTAAAAACTAATAAACCTTGAAATATTTATATTATTATCTTATGTAATTCCATGTCAATTGTATATAAATAAATCTAAATATGTTTATTTGCAAACTTATTTTAAAACAATTAATCTTTAAAGTTCAATGTTGCTTTTAATTGACATAAGTATAGCAATTAATTTACAAATCCATAATGTTTCAAAGTGCCATAACAATTAACATTGATATTGAAATGCATTAATGTTTATTGACATGCAATTTCTGTCTAAAAATATAATAATTTAAATATAATAAATGTTAGTGATATAAATATATACATGCACAAATTTTATGTTAGTGTGACTATATTAATAATATACAATAAATAAAATACCCGGCATCATATGACCGCTGGTGAGTATTACTTTAGCCCTCTCGCAAAACCAAAAGTTGCTCATTAAGAAATGTTTGTCAAATTTGCTGCTTGCA